CAAAAGCAAACAGGAAGTGGACCCCCCCCCCCCATGCACCCCCTCCTTGTTTGGATGTGTTCCACAGTCTATGAGCAGGAAAATTTTCATCACAATTTCTCTACTGTTACCATTTCATCATTTCAGGTACAGCACAGCTTGGAAATCTTCCAGATGACCGCGTGAAGGAGTGATGTGTTTAAAAGGAATGGTATTAATCAACCGTGTCAACAACAACAACAACAAACAACAACAAATTTATTTTTGTATAGCGCATTATCACAACATTACATCGTCTCAAAGCGCTTTATAGCATCCCCACCCAAAGCCCCCAGTGAGTAAGCCAGAGGCGACAGTGGCAAGGAAAAACTCCCGAGAAGGAAGAACTCAAAGGGGGAGCCCATCCTCCAGGGGCCGGCAGGGAGAGAAGGTGGTGGAAATAAATGCAATTAGTCAAAGTAAGGGAGACTATAGGCAGTGCTACAAGTTAGATGAGTGCAATATGGAGTGCAATGCTCCGGCAGATATGGCTATGGCAGCATAAGTAGGAGGGAGAGGCAGGTGGGAATGCAGGCATGGGTGGTCCCTGAAATGTCAGCACTCCAATCCCACAAGCAATTGTGAAGCTAGAGTGACAGCACTGTCAATTCAGTTTATCCAAAGCCAATGGCACCGATCCCCACCCAGCTCTACACCTCACACTATAGGTCTAACTGGGAGTGAGGAGTTAGCTAGAGCTAGAACTAGTGTCCCTATAAGCTAAACTAAACAGGTGTGTTTTTAGTCTAGACTTGAATATTGAAAGTGAGCCTGAAACCCGCACAACCGGTGGAAGACCGGTCAACACATGTCAGTTTCTGGCCAAAGGTTCTGTGGACAGGCATAGCTAAATTATAACTGTATATGAAAACCAACCATTTGTTTACAAACCATAAAATGAGTCGTTCAAGGAAAGAGATGCTCTTCTTACAACAAACATAGTACTTCAGGGCTTAAATAAATACATCAAATAAAAAAAAAATCTACACACAAAGGCTACTCAGAGTGCAATATCGTCTAGGAATTGTCAAAGATGTTGGATTCTCCATCAGGAACACCATCCTAAAGGTAAACCAAAAAGCACTTAGAAATTGGCCAGGCAGAAATTCTGTTAGAGGGGCCAGAAATGATTACTGATCCAAATGTCATTTATTCAACCTATTGAATATGAAAACAGCAGTGGGACAAAACATCCTTCTAACGCTGACAAGAACCGACCATTTTGCAGTTGAGATGTTGGTAAATGTTCAGTGAAAAGGTAAAGTAAGGTAATGGAAGCTCACAGCCAGCATTAAGAGGTGTTTTCATAACCAAAGGATTTTTTTAATTCTTGAGATGCAATAATTTTGTCCAGTCCCTTTCTTGCTTTTCTAAATAAGAATACAAAGATATATATTTTTTTCTTTATTACAAACCTGATGAACTTTGTTTTTGCTGAATTATTTTGGACATACAGTACTCCGGTCATTAAGGGTTGCTGTAAGGATTCTGCTACATGGATGAAGCTTCTACAATTCTCTCAAAATGGGCTGGATATGTCGAGTTAGGAAAATTTAATTAGGGTGTAAATAAGGCATGGCCCTATTTGAATGCGAGGAGAATATTAATACTGTAGCGCCGGAGGGCTTTGAATATCCCGGCATGCTCATGAACACTTGTAAATAGCCCCTGTGTGTAATTGTCGTTGTTAGTGTGCTGTGTATCTGATTGTAGCGTGTTTGTACTCGGTCCTTACCTGTTCTTCACATGTCTTAGTCATGGTGCGATTATTCTACCGTGTGTGAATCTTCCCATTTGTTGTGTGACCTCCCTGCGTTTGCCTGGCATGCTGGTCCCTCTGTTATTGCTGATTCATCGCGGTCCTTTTAAAGATTACATTGAATAGCAGCTTTGTGTCAATCCGTCTCTCCTTGTCTTTATTCACTGCCGCCAGGATGCCTCAGTCTGCCCAGAGCCACAATATATTAGTCTAGGCCAGCCAAAATTACAATAAAACAAAGCATTTGACAGCATTGTAGTGGAGCCTATCAAGTGTCATGCAGAGTTAAGGTATAACAACTCAATGACACAGGAGAAATTCCAAATTCTGACAACCAGATCCATTGGGTTTTGACTCCAATACCATCTGGCTTCCAAAGTCATTCTGAGACTCATCTACTGCCAAATTGTCTGATATCTTAGTTAATTCTTACCAATCAGATCTGTCATGCTTGGGCAGATAGTAGCACTGGCCTCTACCAGCCAAATCTGGGCCTATACTCATGAGGTTTGTGAAAACAGGAAGAGTGGAAGTACCAGGTCCAGGATGAAATAGAGCTCAGTTTTTGACTGGCATAGACATTCCTCCTAGCAAGTCAAGTCAAGTCAAGTGATACCTTTCATCTTACAATATGCAGGCAGACGGTGAAATGAAATGGCATTTGTCAGAGACTTTAAAAACAGCTTTACACAGAACATAAATACACACAGGACAATAATAAACAAACAAACAAACAAATGAATAAATACGCTGTACATAGTGCAACCTTTGACTAAGGCTGTGCAGTGGGTGTGACTGCACATTATGTGCAGTTACAGTGAGTGTATACAGTGTACAGTAATTTTGCTAGGAATTCTCCAGCTGCTTCCAGCTGTACAAAAGATCAAAACCTGTAGCAAATTATAAACTCTAGGTGTACCTTTAGTATTATAGCAATAAGTGTGAATGATTTGGTTATTTAAAAACAATAAATGAAATGGGGGCACATTTAAAGTACAAAGTTGGTGTCAACTGCTCCTATCAAGTGTTTTAAGTCAGAGGTGAGCTGTGGAAGCGCCAGTTTCTCTGTCTGACAGAGAATCAATAAGGGAGAGTCAACAGGCTGAAGTCCGACATCGTTCTTTAAACATGGCGAGTGTTCAGATCACTTCACTTACAAAGTGTAAGTCCTGCTTCATTTTCCTATGCACTGCTTTTAAAAGTTCTGGAATAAACGACCTCTGGTGGACAAAGAGGGGGATTGACACTTCTGTGGGCAAGGTCACTATTGGCGCCCACTCTCTGTGACTGTTGATCACACAACCTACACAAGGTAATATAGGAAGGACAATCAATCCATCCATCTATCTATCCATCCATCCATCCATCTTCCCTAACTGTTTAAAGAAGAGTTAGGGTGTGTAAAGAGCAAAGAATATAACACTACAATAAATACTATTTTGTCATTTTAGAATCCACACTAGCATTTGTCCTGTGTATGCTGGTACCAGGCTGTTACACTATATGCCACAGTATCGACCTGAAACCAAGCACTGTGAACTGAGAGCCCCATCACACTTCTGTCTGTGTTCACATATAGAAAACACAATTATTTTGCAAAATAAAAGTCTCACGCGGCCTGTTACAGTCACATAGTTATACAGTCGCAATAGTTGCTGGTACTTTGCCAGACAGTTACCTTTACTTGTATTGTATTTATTGTAACTATTATTACCGTCCTTATTCAGGACATGCTACTACAGAGACTGAGAACTCCACAGCCTCGCTGCAGTGTTTGTAAGTAGCATTGCAAAGGTAATGTATTTAATGCTAATGATGTGATTATTTCAAATGTACGATTGACAAAAGCAATTTATCTGACAGGATCAACACACAAACACACACATATGCAATTGTATTTATCTGTGTCTATATATATATATACAGCCACGGAAAAAAAATTAAGAAACCACAGCACAGTTTTATGGTTGAGTGACTGAATAATATATATTTTCTTTTCAAACTGTAGCCTGGTTCTTCTCTGTTTCTCATTAATGAAGGGCTTCTTCCTCGCTCTATGGGACTTCAGTCCTGTTTCTAAGAGCCTGATATGAACTGTCGTAGCAGTGCACTTCACACCTGCACTTAACGTTTCCCATTCCTTTCGAAGGTCACTTGATGTCATCCTGCAAATCATGAAAAACTGTTTGATTAGAAAGTTGCTTCTGCTCTTTAGTTGGCTGGTTTCTGGTCGTTCCCAGTGTCTCCTGCTTCACTTTATCCTTCTGTACTGCTGTCTTAGAAATTTTGAACCTGGAAGCAACCCGCTGCTCAGTGTGGCCTTCTGCCAGCAGAACCAGGATTAAACCAGGATTTAAAAGTTCAGTTTTGTTTAAAAATGTAGTGATCTCTTAATTTTTTCTGTGGCTGTGTGTGTGTGTGTGTGTGTTTATATATATATAAAACGTGACATCAGCCTTACATCAGGTGATTCTTTATGTGCGATTTACTGGTAAGACTATAAGGATTAGACATGGCACATGTTAGGCTCGTTCTGGAGTGATGCTGACTGCACTGACTGAGCCTGCAAAGGCGTCTGCTGCTGTACAGAAGTGCTGAGATACACGGGATGCCAACGTCAGGCCGGGCTCGACTGTCAGGGAAAAGCTTCAACCCGGCGAGAGTCTGTCTCTAATGACACAATATCGTCATTTCACCTACAGCGTACCCGCTGGCACTCCAGAAGGCTGCGTGGAGGAGTTTGACCAGATAAACTGCAAATACTACGTGTTTATTGAGAATTACCCTAACCAACCATGTCCCATGTCCACTCAAGGGGATTGAGGGGACACTGAAGCGATGCCTTTATGGCAAAGCTCAATAATAAAGCCTGACAATAAAGGTCTTGGTGTTCACCAGCAGTTAATATTTAAAACCATTGCAAGAAACCGGATATTAGTAATTTTGCGATAAACATTTCATTTTTATACAGCCATAAACCTTTGCCCAATTGATGGTGTCCTTTGAGAAACCTTAATTAGGGAGATTAGTGATTCCTTATCGGGGGAGTGACTGCAGGTTTCACGGCGCTCTAAAGGTTTCACCCCTAGAGGGAGCTAGATGTACATTTTTTTTCTTTGAACTTGAATTTCAGTCACCCCCCCCACCCCTTCAATTTTTTGTTATGCAAAAAAAAAAAAAAAAAGAATACTGCAAAACATTTTAACAAACTTTCAGATGGAGAAATAGCATTCAATAATCACTAAACCTCCCAGGACCACACAATTGCCTCTTCTGATTAACAGCGGAAAAAAAAAAAAAAAAACTTTACAAGGGTGTTCCTGTCTGTGTGCGTGTGTCTGTGTGTGTGTTATGTGACAAAGACTGCCTGCTCCTGATCACAGTCTCCTGGTTTACGCCAAACTGCCTGTGTTCACAGCAGCTCTGCCACCGCTGCCTGGTTACTGCCTCAGGAATCCTTGAAGGACAACCCCATTCCTGCCTCTTTCTGCATTTTATTCTCCACTGGATGGCTGCTGGGAACAGAGGATAGTGAAGTGGAATATCTCCAGAGCAATAGAAGATCACTCCTCCTGTGTCACTGGCTACTTTTTCCTGCAGTTAAACTTTTTCTCCTCTGTGTCCATCATCTCCTTCTCACAAACTGGAATAATGTCTGTTTATGGCCTGAAGGACCTGTGGTTTCCAGTGCATTTATGTGTCGTACTGGTGGTGTTGGCATCAGGCAGCGTCGGGCAGAATCCGAAACGGGGGGATGCGGGACCATCCTGTTACGGGGGATTCGACCTCTACTTCGTGTTAGACAAGTAAGTGTTTTGATTGCCTCTACTGTGAAGGCTGCAGGCAGTCGCTTGGAGCCAGTGAAAGGGGTCACCACACTCTGAGAGAGGAGCATTTCTGCAGAAGTGCCTTCTGTGCATGATTGCATGGGGTTGTTGGTGCAGTCAGAAGTCTAATCAATGCTTGATAGCTTCTCTATTCATGGTTGCTGTTGATTTTGAATGAATGTAAATACAAGTGATTTCGTTTGAATGACGTGCTAAGGATTTCATGGGCAAAGACGGGCTTAAAGCAGAATGTTTATTACAGAAGCAAACCTGCTGAAGTGATGAGAATGCTGCGATCGGTTGTTTGTAAACAGTGTCGTTTACAGTAGTGACACCATGTTTTTGTAACGCATGACTCAAAATAGGTAGGCAGGGGGATTTTCAGTACAAACATTTGCCATTGTTGCTGTCATTTTTCCTCCCCAGTTTTTGCTTGGAGGGATATATAATTTGCAATTTCAAAGTTCCTGGGACACGGCAATGTAAGTTCCAGGTTGCAATACTGCCCCCTAGTGAGGATTAGGCTGAATACAGTTAGCAGTCATCGAAGCTGTCAAAGACTATTGGCAGCAACCCACTGAAAAACCAGCACCTTCACTTCCATCCACCAGTGTGTCACTGCACCTCTGGGAAAATTATAGGGGCACCTTCCTGCATTTCCTGTGTGCTGCAGTATTGTCACAAGGCTCATCTTGTTTTGCAAAGAGCCCTTCGCATAATTAGAGTAGCCTGGAGTTTACAGGATTTGTGCCAGTCAGCTTGAATGACATCAGCAGATTGTATGCTGCTTCCTGCATTCACGTCCAAGGCTTTGGATCTCTGTGGCTTTGGAAGACAATGGCCAGACAATCGTACCGATACAGTACATAGATGGTGCTGTAAGCTACGATCATGGCTGGAACAAAGACGATCATAAGGGTATGAGACAAAGCCCTGGGTTTCGGAGAGGGGGCTGATGTAACCAGTTAGCAAAAGGGAAAATAAACGATACTTTTTCTTTACTGGCCCAGGTCACACGGCATTGTTTCTCCGTAACTGGGCGTAACCGTGGCCCCATCACTCCACCACGTTGGTTTTGAAGTCGCAGAAAAAAAAAAATTGAGATGGATTTTCCAGTTGCCATGGATCTGAAAGGCTCTCCCAGCAGACATTTCTGTGGTGGCACGCCATTAAACTGGATGGAATGGAAATTAAAGCAGCGGCCTTATAACCAACACAGGGAGTGAGACAATTAATGAATTTCTTTAAAAAGTGCCATTAATAAATTTCGTATTTTATAACATATGACACATTTTAAAGCATTGGCATACATTAAAGCTTTACGTTAAACCAATAGGGATGTTAGTTTTACCATAGTCTTACTATTCCTCCCTAGCATTAATTACACATAAATTAGCCTGAAACCGCCTAAATTTTCTTTAGAATTTAATTGATCTATCCAACCATATTTCATCTGCTTATACGGGTACTTGATCATGGTCAGGCTGTAGACTCAGGAAGTGCAGGGCACAAGGTATCGCACACATTGGTTGGGAGGCCAGTCCATAATATTTAATCTATGCTAGAACACATTTGCATATTTTGCATTAGTTGTTGTTTCAGTCTGTCTTCTCTTGTTGTGGTCCTCAAAATGAGAAGGAAACATGTGCACCCCCAGTGTCACGAATCAAGAAATTAAATATATTCTAGAATAACTTCTTAGTTTTATAGCAGCTTATCCTGCAAATAGCTTTATGATGTTTTGGTTTTATGATCAGGCTTTTTGTCTGTCACACACCAGTCTGGAGCTCTTGACATTGGTGGGTGAAAATGTTTATGTCTTCAATGGGATGAGCACAAACAACGTTAAAAAACAAGGAGTCTTTTGTTTGTGAATGACTCAGTGATTTATAACAACGTTTGGCGATTTGTCAGCAAAGTCTATCGCCTCACTTATGTAACGTCTCAGTTATTTATTTTATGGATTTGCTAAGCCAGAGCGTTCGGTCACACGCTTTGGGGAGTGGGAGGGTGGATCTTTGTCGCTTGGCTGATTCTGCATCAAAAAGCGTCCCCATCTATCTCAGTTCTGCGAAGCCACACATGTTAAGAAGGCAGGGAGCAGGGCTTTGGGCAGAGAGTGACACCCAGAGCAGCCGCACTGATGTCACAGTGTAGTTTCTGGGCTAGCTGCCTTCCGATAGCTCAGGCCAGTAAATACCAGGATCAGTCTGTCGAGGATAATGCATGATCTGTACATGAACTGTTAATAACATGATAATAACATGATTTGTTGTAAAGACCTGCAGGAAATAATGGCTCTTATTATTTTATTTAATATTTTATATTAGTTATATTTGTGTGTGTGTGTATATATAGGCTATATATATATATATATACACACACACATATAACTGTGTATGCCCCCAGTCTACAGAGGGACAGAGAGAACAAAAAAGAGACAGACAGAGAGAGAGATTTTGACTTTTAAAAAACTCTTTATTAACACAAATGCATGATTAAGCCTTTCTCAAAAAATAAATGAATAAAATAAAGAAAACAAATAAAAAGAAAAAACAAAACAAATTATCGGTCCACAAAATTCACCATGCACGTCATACTTTCAACACTAGACTTTGAGAGAGAGAGAAAGAGACAGAGAGAGAGAGACAGAGAGAGAGAGAGAGAGAGAGAGACAGAGAGAGAGAGAGAGAGAGAGAGAGAGACAGAGAGAGAGAGAGAGAGAGAGACAGAGAGAGAGAGAGCACCCTGGACTGCCATGCAGTACTAAACCCTTCCACCATTAGGTCCAGATGTTCCAAAGACTCTGCCTTTTTTGTTGGCTGCAGGGTCTGTGTTTTGGACCCGCAGGACAACGGAAAACATGAGGAGAGAGAAAGGGAGAGAAAAAGAAAGGGTATTTGCGTTTGGTCACAAAGACTTTCCTGCTTTTCAGGCCGATGGGGTCTTTGCCAAAACTACTAATGGTAGCAGCCTTTGACTCCCTGAATGAGACCCTGATCCTGCTACCATCGATTCCTTCAGGCTTTCTGAGCAGAGCCTCTCCTTAGAAAAAGTCTCCGTAAAAGCCTGCGTCTACATACATTCTGAAATCCACAGAGGTAGTTTTGGCCACATGAGTTGCTGGCAAGCAGATATTGAGGGAGGAATACATCTTAAGAAGGTTCAGCTTCTTTCATATGAACTCAAAAAAACAAAAATGACAGGCAGAAAGGCCATTGGCCCAGTCAGGATTCTTCTGGATAAACTGTGTTCCAGAACTGTAGCGTGCAAGGTGAGCTGTTTGTGAGTCGTCACGTGACGGGACCTTCTCAGCATGACCCACTGGGGTCCGGAGGCAGCTGCGGCTACACACGGGCGCAACACAGTTACACATAGCTGCTGAATCTTGCTGTTATTCTATCAGTATTTAACACCTATTTATAGAAGAATGAGTGTAGTTCAGTGCATTAAGGAGTGTAAAGTCTTCTTGAACACCCTACATCCAATGTCTTAGGAACTGAGCTGGGCGGTTAATTAAAAACTGAAATTTCAAGTTATTTAAATGCTGGAGAGACAAGAACTTTCCTAAGTAAGGATTTCCTGTGGTGTTTTTGAAAAATTGTCACAACAAAATGAACTGAAAACACATTTTCAGAATGTGGTCAACAAGTCCCACTCTGTCCTGTTACCTAAAGGCATGAATGTAAAGGACATTAAAGTCATGTCCTCAGGCCGGGGACTTTCTGTGTCCCTTAATCCACATAGTACATGATAATCTGGAAATTCTGCAGTCTGGTCTGTGTAGCAAGAAGGCTTCTTATATCATCTGTTGCAAAGTGAAGTTATTTGCAATTTTATAGAGAATTTTCATGCGGCTGAGGTCACATTACCCATGATGCCTAGCAAATCTACCTTAGTCAAGGTTAGTAGAGCCGCACACAATATGTTCCAGGACATGAGCTACCAGTTTTCAGTCCCACATTCACATCTATGATGCTATCCCTTTCTATCAAGGCAAACCCATTAGATACTGGCTTGAGAGTCCATCTTAGCTTACCTACGCCTCTCAAAGGATTTTGTACCTTATCAGCCTAAAATCCAACAGGTACACTCATGAAGTGCAAATTTCCATAAACTTTGTTTTAAACCTTGGAAATCTAACTGGAATGAGTGGATACTTATAATCTAAAAACTGACTGGTTGACCTTTGAAAAAACCCACCTGGTAAATTCCCTATACAGTGATAGAATTGAAGATCAGCAGCAAAAATACACATTTACAAAATTAGCTGATTTAACGCACTACTGTTTCTTTTTCGTTTCCGAGGGTAGTTGTGAGTATTAAAACTGACTCCAGCACCATCTATTTATCCTGATCCTGAGTGTGTCAGTGGGGGCCAAATCCAGGCAGCACAGGGAACAAGGCAGAAATGCATCCTGGGTTAGATGAAAGCCCTGTAGGTGTGATTTAGAGATGCCATTTAACCCAACTTCCTGTCGTTAGAGTGCTGGAGTAAACCTGCATCACATGGAGAGAACATGCAGACTCCACAAAGACAGTGGGGGAAGGTTTCGAACCCCCAGCCGTAGAGACATGTAACTTTCCTCCCCACATCTCAATACCTCTGTCGCTTGCTGGTCATTTTAATCCCACTGAAAGACTGTGTCCGTCTTCTTCATTCCAAGACGGTCAGGTTTCTAGCTTTTTGTAAAACAGCTTTGGGCTAACAATAGATTCTATGCCTTTGCATCAAGTTACAACCCTGTTTCCACAAGAGTTGGGTCACTGTGGGAAATGTAAATAAAAACAAAATGCAACGATTTGCAAATCATTTAAACCCATATTTAATTGAAAATAGAACAAAGCCAGCATATCAAATGTTGAAACTGAGAAATTGTTTGGTTTTATGACAAATATATGCTTAATTTGAATTTGAAGCCAGCAACAAATTTCAAAAAAGATAGAACAGAGACATGTTTACCACTGTGTTGCATCACCTCTTTTAACGACACTCTGTAATCGTTTGGGAACTGAGGAGACCAGTTGCTGGAGGTTTGAAAGTGAAATGTTGTCCCATTCTTGCCTGATATAGGATTTCATTTGCTCAGCAGTTTGTCCTATTTTTCATTTCATGATCCACCAAATGTTTTCATTGGGTGACAGGTCCGGACTGCAGGCAGAGAAGGTACAGAGCCCGGACTTCTACTATAAAGCCATGCTGTTGTCATACTTGCAAAATGCAGTTTGCCATTGTCTTGCTGAAATGTCCAAGGCCTTCTCTGGAAAAGACGTTATCTGGATGGCAGCATATGTTGCTCCAAAACCTGCATTTATCATTCAGCATTAATGGTGCCTTCCCAGCTGTGCAGGCTACCCAAGCCATGGGCACTAATCCATCCCCATATCATCACGGATGCTGGCTTTTGAACTGCCCTCTGGTAACAAGCTGGATGGTTGCTCTCCACTTTAGCCTGGAGAACACACCATGCATGATTTCCAAAAAGAATCTGAAATTTTGATTTGGCAGTTTTCCATTTTGCCTCAGTCCGCCTTCAATGAGCTCGGGGCCCAGAGAAGTTGTCGGCATTTCTGGTTCATGTTTAGATACGGTTTCTTCTTTGCATGGTAGTTTCATCCTGCACTTGTGGATGCAGCGACAAACTGTGTTCACAGACAATGTGCCTGAGACCAAGAGTTAGAGACTGAGACAACCAAGGATTCATCAAACCCTACCCATCATATGATCTGCCCAAGACAAATTGTCTAAGTCTAACCACTCTAAATAGTTAGCTAGAAACCCATTAAGTTGGCCACAAGTGTAATCAGATAACTGCAAAACTATGCAGCCAGCCACAAGTCAAAGTAGATGAAGCTGGCCGTAAATCCCTATAAAATCTTAACAAGAGCAAATATTCAGCATTTCACAGGAAAACTTAAGCTTTCATACTGGAAAACAGTAACCATCTGTGTCTGCTATATTGTTAGACAATCTTCATTTGCCATAATCTGTTTGACAGACATAATAACTCAGAGTTATTTGAGAAAAGGGTCTCTGCTTATTTGTTTATCTGATAGGTTTATCCAGGATTGCTTCACATTTTTCATTCTCCTGTAAATACATTCTGTGAAGGGAAAAACAATGATAGAGAGATTGTACTAATGTTTACCACTCAGAGAGAACAGCGACTGTTCTGTTTCTTCCTGCTAATATCAGAAAGAGGAAAGGCTACAGAAAGTCAGTCAGTCACAGGAATCCATCCAGGGACCTGGAGACGCCATGGAAACAGGAGGAGAGTGTTTCCAAGAAGATGTAAACAAAGAGATGTGGAATGTAACACTGTGCGAGGTCAATAGGCTTCACATTTAAACGGATGATCTTAGCCATCTGTTCTTACCTTATTACCATTCCGTATGTCTCCGCCTCGGAAGACTCAGAAGGATGAATAGGTACCAGCTGCCTGATGTGCCGTTTGGCTGCGCACATCTCAGCTTTCTCCCCTGCTCAGAAAGACGGCCATTCTCAGTAGGCTGGGGACGAGCACCAAACTGCCTTTGTACCAGTAACCCAGTGAATACTGTTTAGCTGCAGAATAAGCTGTTACTTCATCTACCCGCTTTGATTCTGTTGTCCATGTTGCCACAGCTCTGTCGCCCCCTACTGGGCCATTCAGGTACATATAAAGATCAATCCCCTGATTCAATTTCTGCTTGCAGGTCTGGGAGTGTTCAGCACCACTGGAATGAGATTTACCACTTTGTGGAACATCTGGCTCATAAATTCATAAGGTATGTGGGCAGAACCGGACCTGAAAAGAGACGGCAACACCACTAGCCAGCAACTAGCTTCTCATCAAGGGTTAAATGTGCGCTGCGTCGCTCTGACCTCACCTGCTAGCTGCTCCGGTATCCGCCCTTAAGCAGAAGCTAGATCTAAACCAAATTAAAGTTATACTCATGAATTTTGTTTTTCAGCCTAAGATTCCCCTTCATACATTTCACGTTGAGACGCTTCATTATTTATATTCATAAGAGTGCACCATAAAATAAGACATAAAGTAGATGGGACTGTTGTTGAGTAGTAAAATCTGTATAACACAGCCAGAATAGCAGGAGTAGTTTGCTGATACGATGTACAGTAATACAGAGCCTCAAAATAAAAAGAAGGATTTATAACCTGTTTTATCACACAATCACCCTCTAAGTGGATCATGACCTAGTTCTGAATTCCTTAGGATTGGCATGAACACAGCGCTGCATGAGCTTTATGCTCCGAAAGTGGGGCTCAGCTGTTCGCTAAATATTCATACAGCACTGATATAAAGTGAAGACAAAATGCTTGATCCTTGCTTGACCCACAGTAATCAGTGAGACCTAGAGCACAGGCGGGTATGTGACGCACTGAGATGTGACGCACTGAGATGTGACGCACTGAGGCCTGCCATCTGACACACTGACCTGATTTTCTTCAACCTGCTGTAGCCCACAGCTCCGGATGTCCTTCATCGTGTTCTCCACAGAGGGCAAGATCCTCATGAGACTGACTGAGGACAGGTACAGTAGGCCTAACGAGCAGCATTGCATGGAAGGAGAAAAGTGGAGGCTGCTGCTTGTATGCAATTCCTTACATCTGAACTGGAAATATAATGGCAATAATTAGCACCAGAAAACCACAATGCTAAACTATCCTTACTCATAGCAAAAGGCTAACATTTCATATTTCAGTCACTAGGCATCTATGCACATTCCAAAGGTTATTTATATTTTGACATCAAATACTAAAATATTACAAGGTCAGAACCTCATGCAGGTTATTGCAGTATACAGCTGGCGTTTCTGAGAAAAATTCCAGCCACTGCAATAATATTTTAAACACATATGATTTGTAACTATGCAAGTCAAAGTTCAGCATAATGCTATAGTTACTGGATATTTTCAGAAGCTCTTTTGTAAGATAAGGAGTGCTGAGGTGACAATGACATTTAACCTTAACCCTAACCCTAACCCTAATCTTAACCCTAACCCTAACCCTAACCCATCTAAGAATAGAAGCCTGTAGTGGGTACTAATCCCACCAGAATTGGCTACTCCATATTGACACCACAGCTGAATCATGATAGTTCATCATAAGGCATGATTTGTGCAGGAGTGATGAGGATTTCCATCCTGGTTGGACACCTAGGTAGTGATAAGTTTGATGGGTGTCAGTGTCGAATGCCAGAGCCCAGGAGACACTGAAAAACTGAATGAGTGGTGAATGCCAGAGATAGTGAGTTCAATGGAAAGTTTTTCTTTGAATTGTAATTGGTTGAGTTATTTCTATGAGAGGAGGTCTGATCTAATAGGCACAGAACAGCTCAGGACAAATGAAAAAGAGAACGAGGATCAGTAGGAAATGAGATGGGACCAGATATTGAGGACAAGTGGCTTCAGAGAGAGGCACAAACGTCAAGAACAATGTACTACTGCAAACTGATTGGTAGGGAGAACGAGCAACTCATTTCTCTCCATCTTGTCTCCAGATAGAGATCAAATTCTGAAATGGGAGAGGAGCTGGAGTAATAAGAGTTTAATAAACTACAGAATGAAGTTTCAATGTGAAAGAGGAACAGAGAAGGAGGTTCTGCTACGAGGCGCCAGGTTGTTAGATTTATGCCATTCAGCCAGGCGGTGCTTGGTTCTGTCAGCAAGGGGCGGAGTGCAGTGAGGCTGATTGAGGATGCAGTGATGACACTGGGAAGATTGCAGCGAGATCGGATGACAGGATAGAATGTGGCAGCAGAACTAGACGAGGGGAGAAGAGGCAGGGGGGAGAGTAAGAGGACAGAGGGACGTCAGGACTGAAATGAGGTAATGGTTGGAGAGGGGGAGGGGGGCATTCTTGAACTCCAGTATCTGCAGGCAAATGAAACATTTACCTTTATGACAGCACTCCTCCATAAACAATAATGAATGAGAACAAGTGAAAGCATTCGATCTGTGATGCCTATTCAGCGATATGTGGTAGGTTTGTTAAGAAACTTGAGAAAACTTACTGCCAATCACATCAGCAGTGTTTATTTTGGTCCATCTAATACAAAAATTACTTTTAAACTGCCTTTTCATTGTCATTATCCTTCATCCACTGTGTAGCCAGTCACTCAGACTGCTTCACGGCGTAGTGCACGTTCTCGCTTGGCGTTTAGGTGGCTGTGGGTCACGCCGGCCGAGTCGCCGCCGCTTGACCCCACGTCCGAAGCCACATTCACTCTCAGACCTGACACCGAAAAAGGCCACAGCGACCAATGCGGCCCTTTTTGGGTCATCTGAAAGCAAATTGCCTCCGTGGTGAACTTTCACTTTCCCAGTGCCTCGTCACCAGTGGGACGGCCAAGAGCAACAGCGGGGTCCCCAGACTACCCTGGGAACGGTCGGTTGGCCGCTGGGCTTGGCACGCAGTCAGCCCGCTGTCGGCTTACACGCCGCCTGTTTGTGCCGGCGGCCTTTCAGGAGGTCTGTCCACGCCGCCTGTTTGTGCCGGCGGCCCCTGCCCGCGGCCTTTCAGGAGGTCTGTCCACGCCGCCTGTTTGTGCCGGCGGCCCCTGCCCGCGGCCTTTCAGGAGGTCTGTCCACGCTGCCGTTTGCCCCATACAGCACAGACTTCAGCAATCAATAATGACCTTAGAGTAAAAGGTTAGATTAACTGGGGTAGAACATGAGTGATATGTCTCTCAAATTTAATAACACTTTCTATGAATGCTATGTCTATAAGAATCTATGAACACATTCGTAACACATTATAATGCATTCATAAAGCCTATAAATATTCATAAAAAGGCATAACATATAGCCATGTTTACTATGCATTTTGAATGCTTCATGAAGTTCTCATCTATAACACAGATTCCTTTATAATGCACTTAAAGCAACATTAATTGTTATACTAAACAGTATAATGCACTATGAAGGTATCTATAGTGCATTATAGATGAGAGCTTCATTGGAGCTTATGAGGTATTATAATGCTTCACGACTGTCAATAGAAGACACTGTAATGCTTTTTTAATTCTTGTACTGACCATATTAGTGCATTATGAAGGCATCTATAATGCATTATAGGTGACAGCTTCAAGTAGAGTGTTACCTCAATTTCTACTCTTAAGATGTTACAGATACATCACACCCATCTGATGTTTCTCACTGATTAAATTATAAGCATTATATCAATTAAAGTCAATGCGTCTTAATGGTTTTTGTATTAAACCAATCTGCAAATGCCATTGTGTAGGTGCCAGCTCTTCAATCCTTTTCACCTGTTTTCATATAAGTGCACACACAAGCGTCCACACACACACACGTTTACACATCACCTTTACTTATAGACCCAAAGGGCTTCTTCTTCTATCCTGTGGCCTTTGTGTCTCCCCAGAGATTGGATCCGCAAGGGTCTGGAGGAGCTGCGCAGAGTCCAGCCTGGGGGCGACACGTTCATGCACGAGGGCATCCAGAGGGTGAGCTGCCCACCGTAACATAGCTAGCGCTTTCGGCCACTCCCCCCACCGACCCACCCACCAGGCCTATAGGGCAGGGTCACGTGCCCCATTATGATCCCAGTTTATTGAACGTGTTTCTATTCCATGTTTCTATTCCAGGCTAGTGAGCAGATATACCATGGCAACTTGCAAGGTAAGCCATTTTTTAATCTTAAACGCTACATTCTAAAGTGTTTATCCAGTGTAACCAATATAGAATATACTTTTTATATGGACTCACTCATGCACTGGATATTAACTATTTCATACGGATTAAAAGTACTTGTCTGGAGATACATCAGCAAGGACCTCACAGGACTAAGATCTGTCTCTGTAATCACTATCTAGCTTGTGCTCCTATGCTTTGCATCCCAACCATTAAGCATCGTTCAGATCGAGGACCGTGATGCCACTTGCGTCTGTGTCCTTGTGTCTGCTGGTAGGGTACCGCACTGCGAGCGTGATCATCGCCCTGACGGACGGGGAGCTGCACGAGGATCTGTTCTACTACGCAGAGAGGGAGGTGAGGCCCACGGCCAGACCCGGCCAGACCCGGCCAGCCAAGCTAGGGCACGGTAGACGGTTCCGAATCACCAGGTCCAGAGACCCCATCAACAAATGCTTTGATCCCATGTTGTGCAAGAGACACTCTACTGGAAAACTGTGGGTCAGCACCTCTGTCAGATTTATATCTCCCACCTGATAAGGGAATGAAACAGATCAGTGATGTGAGGCACATCTGGCGCAGAGACTCCAGCATTCAATCCAAGAATATCACCCCAACCTGCAGGTGAACCTGCGTACAGCTGAACCCCTATGGGACAGGATCTGGACGTTCTCACCACCTCAGTAGCACCGTCATGATGGATGAAGCACCCCAGATATGGACCATGGAACTGGGAGGGGCAAACTGATAAAATGTTACTAATAAATGCCTGAATGATTTCCATCTTTTCTTACAACAAAAGGTTAAAAGTTTTTCAAAAGCAAACAGACAGGTGGACATGACCTTATGCCCCCCTACCCCCCACATGCCCCCCCTTGTTCAGATGAGTTCCTTAGTCCATAACCCCAGAGAAATTTTTAATGACAAGCTAACTGTCTGTTTGAGAAAATGCATGTAAATAGCACTAAAATAGCTACTCAAGCCTGTGAGTTACAGGCTAAAATGTAACTATGGTTTTCTTGCCTTTCCTTTACATTTTATTTCTCAGCAATATTTGTATTGGCATCTGGGTCATTTCACATACAGGCCAGAATCTCAGCAGCAGTCTGGCAAAGACAGTGCACACCGGTAAACTGCATGCCGCTGAGTATTACAGGGCGGTAATTCACTCCAGGTTTCCGTTCTTGTTTTGCTTTGAAAACTGCAGGCCAATCGCTCGCGGAGCCTGGGAGCCACTGTGTATTGCGTTGGAGTGAAGGACTTCAATGAAACCCAGGTAAAATTTAATGCTTGTAAATTAATTCTTAAACCTGCCAGCCAGGAAACTTCCCCTGTGAAAAGTCATATGCTGAGTTAATGAGAGTGTAAATCATAAAGGGAATATGACAAGCAGTATGTTTCAGCCATAAACTAGAGGCTGCTTAGTTTCATAAAGGGGTAAGATGGTAATAGCCCCCTTAAGAGAGAAACGGCGGTATCTGAGGAATGCAGGGTCTGCATAATACAGTATGTAAGCTTCAATGTGGGGGACGTGTCAACAGCTAACATAAGGCATGAAAATTGTATTGACCTGTTTAATGTTACAAAGTATTTTTAGGCATTTCTCGCTATTTCAGCTATCAAACAAATTTAAACCGAATCCTTTTCCAAAACCTAAACCAAACACTGATTATCACTGGGAAATGACAACTGAATGTTTAACCCCCAGGACAGTGTACTTATGAAAAGCAATAATACCTAAGTCTGTTCCCATCCCTGCCCATATGGACATTCACCCATTCGCATATTTTATTCAAGAATTCAATTAATATTTTGCCCCCAAGCATGTCTTAATCACCTCCTACAGAGTTTGACCATCATTGAAATTCAAACAGAAAGCTGTTCTGGCAGCCAGTGAAGTGCATGCAAGGTATATCGCTAGTTACCTGTCTTTCAAACAAATCAGCTTTTTACAGTAAATAAAAATCATTGTTTAGTTTATATCAATACACTAAAATGTGAATACAGTAGGAAGAAAGGTATTTAAAGACAACTAAAGGTAAAGAGGAGTAAGATTGCAGAACATATGATTTCAGTCAAGATTATTTCAGGATTTCAGTCTACTAACTGGGCATTTTTTAAGCCCGTTTTTTGGGTTTTTGTTGTTCTTATGTTGCACATTTGGGCCTTGAATAGACTTATTAGACTCTAGCTTTGTTAGAAGTTGTTCTGTAGCTCCTGCCCCAGTCCCGCTTACACTTGTACCTGGACATTCACTGGAAGCTCAGCCTAACTGTACCTGGGCATTCACTGGAAGCTCAGACTAGTTGCACTTAATTGCACCTAATTGACTCCCTGTCAGCACATATGTTTGTAATGTGCCATTTGCCTCACTTTTATGCTGCTTTGGACAAAAACATCAACTAAATATGTAAATGCTTTTGCCTCTAACACATTTCTTTCTTTTCCCAGTTGGCAAAGATTGCTGACAGCAAGGATCACGTTTTCCCCGTTAATGATGGGTTTGAGGCACTGCAAGGGGTCATAGGCTCGGTAAGAGCAAGATCTGCTCCAGGCTTGAGGGCTTCACCAAATGATTCATTGTGTTGGCTCTGATTTTTTTGTTTTAGTTTGCCATTCCACTGCCCGAAAAAGTCAGTTTTGGAAGTGCCTTCATAGCAGCATGAGTGGAGCAGTCTTTAAAACCTTTGTTTGTTGAGTTATTGGGTACATATGATGCGCTACTTGGCAACTCTGAAAGCTATATTTCCCTTTCAGTACGTCTAATAGGTGCAGGCTAGGTTTTTAAAGGTTTCCTTTGGCACCTTCAGTTTCCTCCTGCAGACCTAAGTTGGGTTAATGGGCATCTCAGTTGTTCAGTGCGTTTGAATGTGCATGTTTGTCTATGTGTCCTGCCATGGACTGGTGTCCCATCCTGGGCGTCCCACTGCCTTGTTCATTGTGTCCCTGAGGATGACCCCCAGGCCAACACTACCACCCTATACTGGTGAAGCAACTGGAAGATGTATGGATAGATGGATGTTTGGAAACAGAGACACCCAATAAATAAGCGCTGTGCTTTTAACTCAACAATTCCCGATGCTCAGCATGCTGGACAGTATGAAACAGGTGTACAGCGCTAAATGTAATCAGTGCCATTTCTTCATTCCATTGGCATTGCTGACTGTATTCATTTTATCGTTTATTTTAAGAAGGAACCCAGCTTATAGGCCAGGAACCTTACATGGTCCTTAACTTGCTCCAGTGAAATATCAGCGTCTATGAATGTGAAAATGTTACTTCGAAAAATGGTGCCACTGGAGCAATCTACTAACAGTAATACGAGCATCTTGTGTTCAGGTGTTGGGCTTCTTTGGATGTAGTTTAGGTCTGAACAGCTGACAGCCATCTGGTACCTCTTAGCGTCACACTGGAGGCTCCTGACTTCCTTTAAAGTAAACGGGGCACTGACAGTAAATCAGTCAGACTTCCCTTTAAACTCCACATACCTTGCTGGATGGGGGTGCTGAAACTGTCACAGCAAACAAATGGTATGGCAAGATGGAGAATGTTACATACCAGCTCTGGGAAGTCCGTGGCATGGCAGAATCCTGCTCTGTTTTGTTTTGGTCCCAGTGAATTTCCATGCAGTGTACTAAGCTTAGAAAACACAAGAAACTGCCACGAAATACTGTGAACCTTTGATCTTCTATAGCAGTGTTTCCCAACTTGGTCCTCTGGGACCCCTAGACAGTCCATGTTTTTGCTCCTGCCAGGAGCTGGGAGGGAGCAAAAATGTGGACTGTCTGGCAGGGAGTCGGGAGGGAGCAAAAAAGTGGACTGTCTGGCAGGGAGCAAAAACCCAGTTCCATAGAAATGGTGGCGGGGCCAGCCAAATAATGAGGACAGATTGAAGCCATATTCTTACCTCAGGCTTTTCCTCTATATCCTGTCTTTAGATCCTAAAGAAGTCCTGCATCGAGATCCTGGCAGCTGAGCCCTCCAGTATCTGTGCAGGAGGTACGTGAACATTTTGGATCCCCAAGTCCCCTGTGAAAATGTTTCTCACATGATTTGTGATACAATCATCTGATTTAATAAATTTTCATATGGCGTATATATAGTTGCATAATATAGTTTGGGCTGAAGGTTTTTTTTGGCCACATCATGTAAAGTATATAAGACCATCAAATCCTTGCAAAGCAGCAAAATAAGGTGGAAATGTGGAACATTATTTTCTGAACACATATCCGTACACCAGGCCGCTACAGAGCTGATCTGGCCAAGGCAATAAACATGCTAATCTTTCTGATACATGGAAAGTGGTTTGCAGATGTTTTCTGGCATTTGGTTAAGTACCTTCTAAAATTCTGTGAAAGGTAATGCAAAGTTCTGCATATTCAGGTAAAAAAAAAGAAAAAAAAAAACGATAGAAAGTGTTTTGTCAGTTTGAGAGCTTCAGACATCCATTACACAACCTGAGTCAGCTGCTGAGTCCAGCAAGGTGTTTCTCACAAGTCACAATGACTTTAAGTTAGCCACAAAACCGTTAGCTGATGGTAAAGGATTTCTGCTGGTCCCTGAATGAGATTGGTAGGAGGCTGCCATCAAAACCTCATTATTATTATGCAGGCTGTTGATTGATTTTTCAGGATTAAATCTCTGTATGCTTCTAGATTCCAATTTGAATCATGCTCCGGTCGCGATCAGTCACAGCACGACTTTTTATGCTTCCATGCAGAGTCCTTTGAGGTGGTGGTGAGAGGGAATGGATTCCTGCACACGCGAAACGTGGAGAAGGTCCTGTGCAGTTTCCGCATCAATGACACCGTCACCGTCAGTAAGTGGAGACCCATACGCTCCTCGTACTCCTCACCATGAGCAACAAATGGCGACACAACAAACGTAGCTCCCACATGAACTCCATTTTAATGGAATGTAGGGAAACAGAACCTTCACAAGCACAAGATGATTTTATACGATTCATCTCCGTAACGAGGGAATGTCTAATAAACATGTTATCGTGTTTATCCTGGTCCAAGAAAACAAGGCATTCAGAAACCGTGAATCTAATGTGACATTCAGTGCTATGCAAGTCTTAGGCAGCCCAAGGAAATGATTACAGCTACTGTATTTATCTGACTAGCAAGTGTATATTTGCACAAAAAACTATTTAATGTTAAAATATATGCAAATAAATAAATATAAAGTAAGAAGAATGTATTCTGTTCTCCAAAAAGTTACTGATATCTTGTTGGATGGCTAGAAGAAAACAGCTTTGCTTCCTAAACCTCTCCTCAGGGGTTCCTAAACCTCTCCTCAGGGGTTCCTAAACCTCTCCTCAGGGGCACCTCAGGGGTTCCTAAACCTCTCCTCAGGGGCACCTAAAACTTTTGCACAGTACTGTACTTTCAAATGGGCATAACCTCTTATAATGTTATATATGCTACGTAATCTTTTCTGAGGGTATTTTCCTTTATTTCTTGGGAGTTGAACACAAGAAACATGGGGGTATTAAATAAAAGTGTCAAGCATACGATACAGTGATGGGATTCGAGTCCTGGGAGGACTTTTGAAGTCCCCTCAGAGTTTCAGAGTTTTTACAAGCCTCTCAGCTCATATGCTGGACTTTTTCCTGCTGACTAATGGGATCGCAGAGCTGTGGATGTCGATTGCACTAAAAAAATGAAGAGGTCATGAATCCAGCTCCAAATTACAAACTAGAGAAAGATTTGGGTTGTATTACTAAGAGTGCTATTTAGTTCTTGGTGTGATCTATTCCAGTCAGGTGTGAAGGTCCACTTCCTAGCCATATGTTAGAACGTTCCTTCCGCCTCTGCATTAACGGCAAGCAGAACAACAAGCATAGCGCTTACAGTGCAAGAATATTTCAAAAGGCATTTGAGTTTTTTGGACAAAGAAACATTATTGGACTCAGAGTGTGCTTGAAACCAATATGGTGTCGTAAACATCAATGCTGGGCAACAAAACTGTAGTTAAAGTCACACAGCGGACGGGTAGGTGTGAAACTTTGCATGAGTGACTGACACATTTTGTTTAAGAACAGGCATTTCAGAAGGTACACACTGCTAATTATTTATATACAGTACGTGAAGGTCCAGTCAGATAAGTGAGAGCCATGGAGACAGTTCGACCACAGGAAGTTCCCCACAGTCTGATGGCTTTTGTTTATGCAGAAGCAGCAGCCATTTTTAAGGATGATGAGAAGTTTTCTAAATAGGCTGTGATTTTTCCTGGACATGCGACGCTGTGGCCCCGGGCCTGGGATCCAAGCACACTGGGGCGCTATCTATAGCCCACCAACACAGCACAAAAAGGCTCTGCTAGCCCGCCGTCTCCCCTAACATGCATACAGGCACTCCCAACAAACAGCCCATGCTCAGAGATCAACTTGGGACACACATTAGGGAGCCGTAAGGAAGCCGTGGGGGGGGTGGGAGGTGGCTGCATGTGTTCAGCTGCTGAAAGGCAGGAGTAGGGAACCTTGGGGTGACCTCTCAATCAGTCAATAACAGTGGGACGCCAGGACTGGAGTTGAGAACCACTGCTTTATTATTGGCTGAATGAGAGGTCATCCCAAAAACTCGCACCCACAGCGGCTCTCCATGGATCAGGTTCGCCACCCTTGGTCTAAGGAAACATCTCCCAGCAAAGTGACAATCCAAAGCATTTAGCTTGCCCTAAATCACAAATATGAAGCAAGACTATTCTGAGAAGCACGAGTGCTAGATGCTGCCCAGTGATGACAGACATCACCTTGCACCCTGAAATGACCCTCTGGCTGTCTGACGGGGGGGGGGCCCATACACTCCACTGACGTAAACACACATCAACACTCTGATAATTAATCCAGCCATTTCCTGATTATAGTGAAACTCAATGAGGTGCTGAGTCAGCAAAAAGGTCAATTCGCTAGTAGGTGGGTTAATTTCACTCCCGCTGCGAGATTAACTCTGCTCTGCCCTCTCCTCCAAAGCTCCTTTAAGGACTCCGGCCGCCCCCCCCCCCCAGTCCCAGTTGTGCTCTGAGAGTGGGATTTCTGGCCAAGCTTTTTTTGGCCCGGAGTGCGGGCTGGCAGTGGGGGTTGTTTATCTACCAGTGTGTTCTGCGCTCCTTCTTTCCTCCACCCTTTAGGAAGGTCTTTTACTTATAAAAAAAAAACCAATCACAGAAAGTTGGTGTCTATACCCTCAGAACTGGGTTATGCTCCACCTCAGCCAGAATAAACAGGGAGAAATAAGTGAAAAGAGAGAGAAAGAAACGCTGGTTTCACAACAGCCACATTTTGTTTTGCTCCCTCATTTCATTTGATAAGTCTCCCTTAATAAATACCTCTCATCTAATCCATTTAGGCACCCCCCCCCCCCAAGCACTGCCCCCCAGGTGCTGAATTAGCTGCCCCCTGCCATGTCACATAGGGATTAAACGCAGAGGACACTGTTTGTTGTGCTGCGGTGTGTCAACATTGACAATGAGTTTCACTTCTCTTCCATATTCCCCACCAGTGAGAAAACCCCTGGTTGTCATGGATACCTATCTCCTTTGCCCTGCTCCAGCTCTCCATGAAGTTGGAACGTGAGTGTAATCTAGACCGTACAGAAGTTCTTCCAATGTGCCAATTACTTCCCGTTTCAGGCGCCCATGCTGACTTATCATTTTCCTCCATGTCCCTCTTCTCGCTTAAGGTCAGCCTCCCTGGACGTCAGCATGAACAACGGCCTGAGCTTCGTCTCCAGCTCGGTCACCATCAGCACCGTGGGCTGCGTGAGTAAAAGCCAGCAGATCGGAGGGCCGGCCCATCGGGCCCACCTGCCATCTCCCTGCAGAAGCCCTCACTGAGCCTCACAGCCTTCATGTCGCTGAGGACTCATTTGAGACACGCACTGCAGAAGATGAAGTGTCATAGGTGGTTCCTGGGGGTTCCGGCCTTAAAGTGTACAGTACTGTTCAGAAGGAACGTCTTTAGCTACGTAGGCGGTAACCAGATACTTCACTGGGGTGGTAGAAAATATATCTGTGTTGTTTACTGAACCTTCTGTGCCCCCCTCCCTCCTCAGTCTGACGGGACCATACTGGCCATTGCTCTTCTCATCCTGATGCTCCTGCTGGTTCTGGGCCTGCTCTGGTGGTTCTGGCCTCTGTGCTGCACAGTGGTAAGTGGAAGGCCGAATTTTGCAAAAAGGGCATGTATTGGGAATCCAGTAAACAAGTTTGCAAACCTCAAAAAGGATTTCAAAATGGATGCATCTTCAAAGAAAGAGCAGAAGTTCTCAGTGGCAAAGTCTAACATTAAGCTATTTTGAAAGTTAACATTAGATTTTGAAAAAATAATTTGAGGACAGCTTTTCCTGGCTTATTCTGCACCCATTCAGTACCTCATAGAGTCAATTCTCTGCATAAAAACCTGCTTTGTGCCAAAAAATCCACTACTTGTAACTAGTTTGGTAAAACCAAATGTTGTTATACACATTTAAACAAAATGGCTGTCTGCCCTAAAGCTTCTTGACCTATTTTTGTGACTGCAAACAAGGAAAAGGCTGAATTACATCCATGGCCGAAAGGCTGAATTCTAACTATGACAAAACAGGTTTTGGAAAATACTCAGCCCGACGTCAGCGGACATCAAAGGCGGCAATAACATGAGGTTGTCGCTAAAATATTGTTTTGCACTATCTGGGAAACTTGATCAGGTATCAAAACCCTAAGGAAATTCAGATTCAAAACACAAGAAAGAGAAGCAGCGTTAGAGAGATCAAATCCAAACTCCAGATTTCTTTACTTTGGATCACCCAGTCCCCGAGTTCAGGAAACGGAACGGCTGAAGTCAGCGCTGGATGGACAGCGGGGGCTGGAAGGCGTGTCTCACGAAGGGAATAGCGAGCGAGGGAAAGGGTGGGGAGCCCAATCGTTCCGGCGTCGTGTAGATCCCTGGAGGGGTCTGTCCGTGGGTCGCCGGCCTGCACGCAGCATTCCACCGACGCCGCTATCCGTTTTCACGACGACGTCAGTCGCCTGGGAGACGATTGCCTTCCAAGTCACTCCATTACCCTTGAGGTGCATGAGCAAGCGACCATAAAGAAGAGTGTCTCTCCCAATGAAAACGAGACTCCCGCAAATGGGAAAAACCGTGCACATTATCTTCCAGGCCTCAACTAATATCAGATTTAATAAGAAGCCCTTCTCCAGGATTGTTTAGGGTGGTCAGGATTCATCGCTGTAGGAAATAGACATGGACATCAGTTCTGGCATTCAGCTATATCCAGCATGTCCACCACAATGTATAAAGTCACATTTAACATCTTGAGTTTGAGCATTGGCACTATGAGGCAGAAGTGTTGTTTATATTAGTATCAATTGGCTGATTTTTGTATCAACGGGCTAATTAAGAAAAGCCACAAGCTCGCAAATGACACCACAGTCCTGCTCTCTCTCCCCTCCTGCTTTTCCTGAATTCCCTCATAATTCTTTACTTGGACATTTTACTTTACGTTCAAGCTATGGAAGGATAATAAACAAAGAAAGAGCAGGATGCTTCACGACTTGTGTGGTGCTGCAGAGGGCTGTATCCCGGCCCCCTGTGAGGCCCAGAGCGTCTCCTCCAGTTTCGGAAACCATCCAGATGGGGCACAGACTACAGGCCGCTATGTCGTCCTTGTAAATAAGGAGGAAAACGAGCGGGAAGGAGAAAAAAACAATTCCTCAGTCATGTGTTTTTGTGTAGCCCTGCTCTTCTGGCACACGTTTAAACCATTACTCAGGCCGTGTCACATGCTAATATAAAAAGTGGAGGCCGGATTCCGCAGTAGGGGAAAGCAAGTGTCGTAACATGTCGGTGTGAGCAGGCTTGTCTCTTATGCTTGGTCTTCTTCCAACAGATCATCCATGAGCCCCCTCCTCCGGTGGTAGAAGACAGCTCGGTAAGAAGCACTGCACTGTGCTGTCGGCCGCTGCAAATTCCCAGCCTCACAGATGTTGCTCTTAGAAAGAACCTTGTGCTAAACAACTGAAGTCTTGCATAACATGGGCTTTATTTATTTAGGAAAAAGCAAATGCTTTAATTATTTCCCCTGCTTTATTTATGGTAAAGTTAATAATCACTGTTAGCATATCCAAAATCACTTATTTATATTACATGTTGTTCCTGGAAGATTTAACAGCTGATCTGTCGTCTGTCGCATGCTGGACCAATAAGAAGTGGTTTAAATATTTTATGAAGAGATTATGGTAACACTTTATTTAAGGCAAGTTTTTAGTAATTTAAACATATTTATAATGCATTATAATGCATTCATAAAGCATTAACATGGCTATAAATATTTATTTAAAGGCATAACGCATCATAGCCATGTGTATTAAGCATTATGAATGCTTTATGAAGCTCTCATCTATAATGCACTATAGATACCTTTATAGTGCAGTACAAAGCATCCTTAATGCTTATACTGACCATTATAATGCATCATAAAGGTATTCACAGTGCATTATAGGGGAGAGCTTCATAAAGTATTCATAATGCCTAATAAACATGGCTATTATGTGTTATGCCTTTTGATAAATATTTATAGCCGTGTTTGTAATGCTTTATGAATGCATTATTATTTGTTATGAATGTGTTCATAAATGATTAAAACATGGCCTTAAGCTAAGTCTTACTGAGATTATAAACTATAGATAGAACATCTTAAGTGTCTCAATATAGCACATAACTCAGAAATCATGAAACTGCCCTCTTAGGTATCTTCTTATGATCCACTGGACCACAACCAAGCATTATCATAACTTCTTCGAGGTAAACAGACTAAGAGGAAAACATCCAACCCAAAAAAAATTGAGTCCCCCCCCTAAATTCTTTCCACTTTAAAAAAATAGCAGCAGCTTCCAAACACTATTAAATGTGCCAGCATGACCAATTTTCACTAAAAAGTATTTTGCACAAACAACTGTGTTTATAACACTTTTACTACTGAGCCTTGGGCAAGTGACTTTGGTCAAGGCATCAACCTAACAGAACCCCCCCCCCCCCCCCTGCATAATGCTGGTCTTAAAATGTAGGCCTACAGCGATCTGGGAACTGTGCATCTTCACTCTCTTCCTTTGTGTGCTGTTATAACTACAGGTGTTAGAGAAAATCTCTACTTGAGCGAAGCAGTCACTTAATCAAAAATCCAGTCTCATGATATTCCACCCACATCCACAGCCTTAAACCTGAAGTGCATAAATATTTTACCAGATTTCAGTTTTAATACTTTTCGACCCATAAAAATGAAACAAGCAAAATTAACAAATCACAATAAATGCCAACATAAAAATGTGTGACATTGACACACCAACGAATAGACACAACCGACAAGGAATTACTGCATAGTAAACATAACAGGAGGGTGTTTATCAGGGAAGAACCAATGGCAGCAAATCAGAAACTTGGGTAACATTTTACTCAAGGCCAATTTTTAGCAATTTATAAACACATTCATACCAAATAATAATGCATTCATTAAGCATTATAAACATGACTATAAATATTTATCAAAATTATGCCTTTATCCTTAATGTTTCTACCAACCATTATAATGCATTATTAGGGAATCTAAAGTGCATTGTGGATGAAAGCTTCATAAGGCATTCATAATACATAATAAACATGGCTATAATGTGTTATGCCTTTTTATAGATATTTATAGCTGTGTTTATAGTGCTTTATGGCTGCATTATAATCCATTATGAATGTGCTTATAAAATATTATAAATATGGCCTTAATAAATTGTTACTGGAACTTGCATATAGAAAATTCAACACTGATTGCACCTGGTTCTTTAAATTGCATTTGGATAGATGATGGCTTTGTCATTCAAAAATTATGCTATAATTGCATAACAGCAATCCATCCATGTTAAATTGAGGCTTATAATAATGGATGAATGATTTGCTGGATTTACCAGAAAGTGAAAAAAAACACTTGACACTCCCATATTAGATAAAAGCAGAATATGAAAAGAATATTCATAGGAATATTGAAAGTAGTTGGTATTGTTTCCAGCTGCAGAGGAAAGCTAGACTGTCTTTCTCTGTTTCCTTTTGCCGGAGCCTGGTCATGAAAACAGGAAATGCCATAAGTCACACGAATGCTTTCTAAGATCCCGTAGTCAAGTCAACAATCGTTTCAAGGAAAAAAAGGGAAGGATTTCAAACTACACACTACAAATTTGGCTACCAAGACAATAACATCACATGTTTCTAACACTCTGTAAACTCTTGTCCTTTCATGTATTAGAATTTTCCTTTTTCTTCAGGCCTAACTTTATCGCCTGTTAAATTATAGCTTTCCTGGATACACCATTCCTTCACTCCCACAGGGTTGACATTTCTTGGGATTTGTATGTTGGGGGGTTTTAAAGGGATCTGCTGAGCTGTGATTTATGGGCCAGTCAGGTGAAGACCTGCTCTGATCAAGGGCATGAAACACCTGAAATACCAAAAACAAAACAAAATGATCAATTTCCTGAGAAATTTTATACGAGGAGTGGATAGAGATGTGTTTTCCTGTTAGTGAAGTAGTCATTAAGCCAATTTGCGCAACCATTTGTTGTTGAAGCACCCCACTGGAAACGCCAGTCTGCTGGGACCTTCACAATATGCCAGACAGACTAATCCAATCAAAGAAGCAATAATCTCTTCCAAGAAAGACCCATGACCAGAGACCAGCTGGAAAAAACATGGATAATGGATAATATATTTACATTAACACAGGCAGAGTATTAAGCTTTTTTGACGTTTCTTAATATCTCTTTAAAATTATGGAAATAATTCAGCTTCTACTATAAGTACTACTGGTTAAGATCCAAAAACCTCCAGTACTGATTTACATTAATTGTCATCACATGTAATTTCTACTCATTGTGCCAAAACCACAGAACATTCTTCAAGTCAGATGTGACAGAATGTGATGACAGAATTTGACCATGGTTTCATGCTAATATAGCTGTTTGTAGCGAGACAAGACTTTGCGATGGGCTCTTCTGTCTCAGCTACAATGGGGTAATCAGTGAAGAGACAGAAAACTCTGCTTAATCCTGTGCATCCCCGTGAGGAGATGCTGTTGCACGTGGAAGAAGGGGCCTCAGTTGTGGTTCAGTTCCATGTTCAAGGCTGAGGTTCACCTACCCTAAACTGCCCTCCGGCCAAAATTACTTCCAGAAAAGTAAAGTAGACCACATCCCAAGGTCTGATGTAGGCCATATATTGAAGAGTCTTTAGGGGAATCTGTGGGCATAGGGGGGGATCTCAGCTCTGCTCTATTCGAACATGGAAAATAAGTTACAGCATTGCAAACACTGCCAAACTGAGTTCAAGCAATCAGAGAGGAGGAACGGACCCAGGTGGTGAAACATCTCAGGTCTGACTCTCCATCCAGCGTGTGAATTTCTCCTCTCTCTTTTTATGCCTGCAGGAGGATGAAGAAGACGAGGCTCCGAAAAAAAAGTGGCCCACGGTGGATGCTTCCTATTACGGGGGCCGGGGGGTTGGTGGGATTAAGAGGATGGAAGTAAGTCAGGGGCAGGCACGATAACAGCCCCGTCCTTACAATGACAGATAATCATCTCACAGCACTTACCGAGGAATCGTCGCTCAACTATATTAACACCTTACTGTAGTTTTTGTTTCTGACAGTGTTATAAAACACTTTTAACCGCATCCAAAACTGCACTGCAGTCTTCAATGCCCCCCCCCCGCCGCCAAAGCTAAAGTGTAACTTCAACACAGCTATGATTTAGCTCCTATGCTATTGGAACTTCAGTGCCGCATTTAATCTTGCCAAAGCTACAGCGCAGCCTCAGTACAGCATACGGCCGTGATTTACACTCCGCACATTTTCAGCATCACAGCTGCAATATATGCCACCAATAGACTATTCCCTCTCCCCGTCCGCGACTCTGCTATACCGTACGCTATGGAAATGTGCCTGCTTTGTTGACACAATGACCCCTCTACAGCGCCACCCTGCTTATGACTGCCACCAAAATGACACCTAATCTCCACCTTTCTCCGTGGGCTGTAATCCCACAAGATGGCTCCATATAGTAATTTCAGGCCAAGTCCACATACTGTACTGTACCCCATCAATCACATTATGGCTTATCTGCTGCATGGCTCACAGACACAGATTTTCTTCCAGTCTACCACTGCCCATTGTCCACACAAATATCAGCCGCGATGACATCACTGCAATTAACTGGTAACAATTCCCCGACAATACAGGTTGCTCCCACAGTCCACAGCTACGATTGGCTGATTTTGTTGGAAGCGCGTGCCTCTCCAGTGACTGTGCGTGTCTCACATCGAGGTGCGCTGGGGAGAGAAGGGCTCCACGGAAGAGGGCGCCAAGCTGGAGAAGGCCAAGAATGCTCGCGTGAAGATGCCAGAGCAGGAGTTTGAAGAGCCCTCCGCCCGCACCCTCAACAACGGCATGCACAAGCCGCGCGAGCTCCGCAAGTGGTACTCTCCGATCAAGGTGCGCCGCCCATCCCGTCGCCGTCTTGGGACCCAGATCCCGGCTGCTGTAGTTTCCGTATCGACGGGGCAGATTATCCCGAAGCCCAGCAGTGCAGAGAGACCAGGAATGAGTTAACGGGCCTTTTCATAAGTACACAGTCAGCTGGGGATTGTTAATAGAAACCAGATATGAACTGGACTGACCTGAGGAAGGCTGCAGCAGCAAAACTAGCGGTTTTCAGAAGAAAAACAGATTCTTTTGTGTCGTTTTTTTTTTTTTTTTCCCTTCTGCCCCAAATACTCAACCACCCCCACAACGACACCCCCAATTGATCACTGGAGCCATGGAGAATTCTAAGTGAGCAAACAACTCTTTAAAAAGGATCCTGGAGAGGAAACACGGATAAATTAGGTCAGATAAACTAAAGGAGAACAAACTTTAAAAAAAAATAAAGCGCATAAAAGTCTTTACAACATTAAAAAGCACCAAACTGCAGTTATCCGTGATGAACCTGGATCAGTGGAGAAAACGTTTCATATTACCACTGTCCTGCCTCTCCTGCCATTTTTCCCCTCGGATGACATTCTTTGGAGTTGTAGCAGACATGGTGATTGCTCTGGCGTGGCCACTTGGCCAGGATATAGATGACACACGAACCATTACTGAAAAGCAGAGAATTATCCGCAGTGAATCTCACACAGCATGAGAATGCTTCCTCAAAATCCCCGGTTTCTTCATATGGTTCCTTTTTTTTGGGTGATTTGTGAAATAAAATAATTTCAGCAAATAGATCATATGAAGAAAGACAGTTGATTGGGGCATGACAGCAGAAACATGACTGTAGTGCATGTTTAAGGAATTCTGATCAGTGCTGGAGACTAAGCACTATTTTTTTACTGGAATTGGACAGAAACAATTCTGTGCAACAGTAGGCTATTTTTTGCACAGTAGATTTATATTTCCTCAGAAAACAATTTAATATTAGAATATACTCAAATTAACAGTAACATCATGAAAAATAACAATGTTCTCCAGACAATTACTGATATGTTGTTGAATGACTAGCCAGATCTCTCCTTGGTATTTGTTAAACTTTCACCAGCAGCTCACTTAACTTAATTAGTTCAATAGCATGATGAGGTATTGCTTAACCAAACATGGCATGCTAGTGATCAACAAATACATGGGCAAATTGGATCGTAACAAAATCTGGGGTGAGGTTTTGAAATTGTTAAGCTTTGACAGGCACAATATTATAGTTTTACAGCAACACAGAGATCATCTAAAACATCATTTTCTTTGACGGCCCTAGACTTTCACACAGCATGAGGCGTAAAGTTCAGGTCCAGAAAGTAGAAATCCAGACTAAGGTTTTGTTTCAACCAACCTATTGAGTATAAAGAGTCACAGTCACAGAGTACTCAACTGTTTGGTTGAAACAAAACCTTGGTCTGGATTTCCACTTTCTGGACCTGAACTTTACGCCTCTGCAGCACAGTATGCGTATATACAGAATGTCTGCCTGTTTGCCGAGATGGCAGGAGATTTCATCCAGGGCTACGAAGGTTCGACAGAAGTCTGATGATCCAGTGGCTGAGCCTGTCCCCCTTCTGCTGTCTCTGCAGGGGAAACTGGACGCCTTGTGGGTCCTCCTGAGGAGGGGCTACGACCGCGTGTCGGTGATGCGGCCTCAACCTGCAGACAAGGTACCAGCAGCCTCCACTAACCGTAAACCACTTATTAGCTCCAGTTAACGGACAAACTAGTATGGAGTAAGTCTAATAGCATGAAACACCAAAACCTACTCCAGGACTGTGGGACGGCCTTACAAATAGGCATTTATCTTGCCCTGAAATCAACATCAGATTATAGGAATGAAAAGCCAGAGCAGAGGAAACTGCAGAGAAAACTGAGATCTCAGCAGGATATGGAACACAGTGCGACACGCCCAAAATCGATATGTACCTTGGAAATTTCCGACCAGTACGTCAGGTGATTAGAAAAGGTTCGGCTTTGGTCGGGCACTTCACTTTCACTCCAGGTGCAATTAGGACATGCGTTTATTTCTATGAGCTTCCAAAGTACAAATTTAGAGAATGTAGGGGACCAGCCCCAGGTCTGTAACGCTGCTGGTTACCCCTCAGGTCATATGTGCCTTTTAGAGAGATACTCCACAGCCGGGGGGTATGCAGGTCATTGCTGCATCTCCCTAATTAGATTACGACACAAACGTCATCCCGAAAACCAGCTTACACACCGGCCCTCTGCGGAAGAGATTGTCCTATAAGTAAAGCAGCGGCCACCGGAGAGGATGCACGCCTAGACGTGCAGGGCTTGCTTTATGCCCCCGTGCCACCAGGGCCACAAAATAACAAGCCCAACTTACAGAGCACCTACATTCTCCTTGATCAAATCCAGAATCCAGCCCAGTTCCTAAAAGACTCAAAACCAGATTCCAACCCTGTCTTAAGGGGATTGAATGCCTGGGCATATAAAGCTCCATTTTATGATGTAATAAAGCACGGAAAGTTGTGCGGAGCCACTTATTCTGCACCCCAGAAGTAAATAATTAAATTTATTTCACCTACTTGGCTAAAAAAAAAAAAAAAGATGATAAAAATTGAAGTTCGGCAACATGACGTTCATTTGCATATCGTAATTTAACAGACAGTTCTGCAGAGTAGGTCACGGGTCAGTTCAAATACCAGTATCAATCAACCAAAGGCCACAGTCACTGAACGCAGTAAGCGGTGCATAACTTACGTCACAGTCTTACATGAGATGTGCAAAGTGACGCAGAAGTTACTTGCGAACCATTGTGCCGTTAACATTTACTGAAAGGCAGTGAGTCATGAAATAAAGCCCTAGTGCCATAATGAAACCTGACGAAAGTCAAGTACGGACATTTGGGCAGCAGGATTCCGGCTTCTACAAAGTTAGTGCCTTCGAAACTTTGCCGGCCGCGGTGGTACTCTGCGCCGAACCGCCAGCTGCGGCACTCAGACAGCACAGCTCACTGGCCCACAGCTGTTTCCAATAAAGTGCGTACAGGCGCAGAGGCTTCTGGGAAGGCATGTGGTGAGCTGGCATCCAGAAGAAATAGGCTGTCCATGCTGCTCCTGATTGGAGGAATGCACTGTAGTCTGCCCCAGTAATAAAGGGAGCTCAATTATCCCTCTCCCCTCTCCACCACCCCAATCCTGCTGCCAGAATGAGGCAAACGCTGGACATCCACATTAAGGCACGTACTGTTTATAATTCCCACAGGGATTTAGGCTGTGAGCTCTGTTTTTGGCTCCGGGGTGCAGGGTGATGGCTGACTGGGGTGTATACTCCCTGTCCTAAGAATTCCAGCCCGAGTGTTTATAAAGTTCTTTCTTCGCCACTCAGCCTTGCCCAACGCGTCCAAAATGAATCATTCGAACCTTAAACCATGTTGCCTGCACTCACTGACGTTTTCAGGCTGCTGAGATGTTAACTTCTACTGAAAACCAGAGAATGGAACGATGTAAAAATCATGAGCTTCTGGGCAGTCATGCCTTTGATTTGTTGATTTGGTTATTTTTGCTGATATTTCTCTAAAATTCCTGAACCTCCTCCTTCCAACTCCTTTACATTCTCTTCCCCAGCTGCCTTCTAATGCTTGCGACTCTGAGAATGTAACCTTTATGACAGATCAGTCTTCACTCGGAATTATATAAAACTGTCAAGTAGGTAAAGATCCACACACCAGCGTCCCAAATGTATAATGTGGGAAAACTACAGCCTCATCTCCTCAAAGATGCCTCATGATGATGGAGAAAAGAAATAGTGAGAAGCGTGGAAACAGCAGCTTTGATTGTTTGTTTGTACTCAGATGTGCTAGAATGTCACTGTGCATGACAGAAGCTGGGAATGAAGCTTCAAAAAGTGGACTTTTTTTCCAGTGGTGTTCTATGACATCATCACCACACCTGAGTAAAACCGATCATCAATATCCTGTAGCTGTGAAGCTCATTGAACACAGCTGGTGCTTAATGTTTGATATATGAAGACAAGGTGGAGGAAGGTCAAGCTGGCAGTTGAGAATGAAAGAAAATACGAGTGTTAAATCTTCCAGAAGATATGGTACCAGGGAAAAGGAAGGAGTCGTGGGAGCAGGGAAGGAGTTTGCGTTGAAGGAGCAAGGGGTGGGGGAGAGGTAAAGAGGAGACTGGAACTGAGAAGGACATGCAGTCATGGTGAAGTCAGGAGCTCATCCACTCTGGGTAACTATCTGAGCAAAGTAGGACTAGATCAGTCATCAAACTAGAGTATGAAAGGTTCACTTATGAACAAATAATACTAAACAGTTTCAGGTAAAAGTTCCTCTTGGTGAAGCTGTTCATTAGCACATAGGCAGGCTGGAGCCCACTGTACTTATTCAGTAAACAAGCTTCCTCTGGATGCTATTAAATCCCCAAGTCAGGGCACCGGAAGATCTTTATGGCTTCCCCCATATCAATAAAGTAGCACAAGGGGGTGAAGCTGATCTAGTGAAAGCGCTGCCCCTTTATCCTCTTCCTAATACAGCGCCGTACCTTGTTATGGAAACATCTCATGATATACGACTGACTAACAAACCTTTGGAGCTTTGAAACATTTCGTTTCCCTGAAAGGGGCCACACAATAAAAACATTTCTCTTGGCACAGCTTTGCTAACAAACATTATTACCTTGTATTTCCTGCAAACCCTCATTACACAGGTCCCTGACCTTGGTCAGCTGTGGCTGTAGGGTACGCACGTCTTATTTGCCTTATTGAAGTAATTATCTAGACCCCGTGTTTCAGATACAAATCAGCGACTAATTAAAATGTATTTTCTAACACCAGCATGAATCTGGGCAGAGGCTGGGCACCCTGCTTTATAGGTATTACACAATTGACGTTGCCTCCCTAACCTTTGGATATACCTCAAAGGTTTCTGAGTCACTGTAAAGCAATCTCTGCTTTAACGGAAATGAAGGCCGGCTTTGACTTTTAAGGCTCACTCCAATGATAAACAGAAGAAAAAAAATAAAGTTCATAGCAACGGAACTGAAAGAACGCAACAAATTACAGGAAGGCTATAGTATTATACCTCAGAGGGAGGTATTTTTACCTGAACTTCTCTAATAAGGCGTGCAGCTGTGTAAACGGGTAAAGGTGTACAATACGGATATCCCACCTCCATGGTGTGCAGAACTGACTTGTCTGATCCTCTCTTCAGAACTCATGCAATCACTCCCATGAGTTACACTGTAAACTCAGAAAACATCCCACCCTTGAAGTTGTAGATATGGACCTCAGCACCACTATAAACCAGCTTCACTTCCTTGCAGCAAACCCAGTGGCAACAAGTAGAAAATCCAGGTCTTAGTAGCACAGGAACCTAATTAATTCAAACAAGTACCTCCTGAAACCCCAGCTGAGAGTGACGCTTTCCCATTGGTCGTACTGCTTGGTACTGAGTGTAAGTCAGTCGGCATTATGTGTGTGGATGTGAAATATCGTAGTATCGGTATTTAAGAACGCTATTCCAAATATATACCATTAAAACGAAAGCTTTTAAATTACGAGGATAACATTCGATATTGGGCATCATTCAACGCTTTGTTCTTCAAGATAAACACAATTTTTGTAGTTAATTCACAACTGACTCGGAAAACAGGTAGATAAGGAATGGTAGAGCAAGCAGATGGTAGAAATCTTAAAGATGCAGATCAAAAGGGCTGGTCCTTCCACAAGAAGTCGATCCAAAGTCATGTTTAAGGGAAAAAAGTAGGGCTATTGGATTCTCAGACTTCCCGTGTTTTCACACGAACATCTGGTGCTGCGATCTAAGCGTCTCCATTTTCCAGGACCAGGAGAGCCGAGGCTTTAAGAGGCCAGTATAGTTTCTCACCAGTCTGCTCTGAGGCCAGCTGGATAGGAGCACAGTGTTCAGGGCCTGCTGTGGAACCAGGGCTGGGAAGGTTATTTATGAAATGTAGTAGGTTACAGATTACTAGTGACCCTGTAATAAATAGGCACGTGCTGTGCCATACAATGGGGCTGTAATAAATAATGTAACTATTTTGATTACTTTATCAAAGTAATATAACTTTCTACATTTGATTACTTTTCTAACAAATGTTTTGAATTGGCCAGAAAAGCTGCGAGTATCAGCGACTTTGCTGACCCGCGTTGTCTGGAAATGTGCCAAGAGAAGGTGAAAAGACACAAAGCAGCAAAATGAATGTTATGTGCTTCAAGCTTTTTGCCAAAACGAATATAATTGGATGTGACCCCTTTGTAATCATAAACATTTTGAGTAATAACCATGATTCAATTGCATATTTTTTCTCAGTAACTGTAGTGGATTACAGTTACATTTACTTTGTAATTTAATTACGTATCGCCGTTACATGTAACTAGTTACTCTCCAGCACTGCTTGGGACTTTGAGGGAAAGCGGCCAGCCGGCGGATTTACTCGTGTGTATTTCTGGTTTTGGTTACACTGTTCATGTCCTCAAATCCCCCTCAGCAGACAGACGAGCTCACAGATTTGCCGGCACGTTCAGTCCCAGTGGGGCTGTTTGCTCATGCAGATGGGATGTCATCTTAGCCAGTCAGCTGCTCTATTTGCACAAATATCTGGCCACACCTTTAACACATGTCTAACGATGTCACCACATGTCTAATGATGTCACCACATGTCTAATGATGTCACCACATGTCTCATTGCAGGGACGCTGCATCAACTTCACCCGGGTGAAGTCCAACTCAGCGCCACGCTACCCGGTGTACAATCACCATTCTACCCCCATCTACAACCCCTCCGAGGACTGCAATCCGCCTCCACCCCAGGGCATGTTGCCCCCCCCACCTCAGAGCCCTCCCTCTTCTCCTTCATCCATTTTTTCCCCCTCATTGCCACCTCTGCCCCCGACACCCCCTCCTGTTTCCATCACTCCGTCACCTGCAACCACCCCTCCTCCTTACACTCCACCCCCCACACGTGCCCTGCCCCCAACCACTCTGAATCTGCCCCTGCCTCCTGCTCCAGCATCTCCCCCACCCCCTGCCCTTTCTAATGGCCACCTCCCTCCACCTCCTCAGGCCCCGCCTCCTGGCAGAGCCCCGCCTCCTGCCCGCCCCCCGCCGCGCCCCTCCTTCTAATTCCACTTTGTTAAAGGGGAAGGACACAGCTTCCATAGACTGTTTAGTGGAACATCTGCAGCAGAATTAGAAGGTCCCAGTTGCTCTCCCCATGCATTCCCGTCGCCTCCTCCAGAGACCCAATTCCCTTTTTGTCAGACCACTACCAGCCAGGCCTTCTACAAGGTCCCCTTCCTTAACATTTACAAAAGCAAACAGAGGGGGGCACTTTCCGCTTCTCCACAGGAACACAAAACAGGTCCTCTAGTCTGTTCCTCTTTTTGGACCAAACCAGCTTCTGGATAAACATGAACAACATGATGCTGTGCATTATGCCATTCCACCGACAGTCAGCTCCTTCATATTCTTTTAGACCTTGTGTACATGTGTAAATAGTAACAATGCTTCCTGTGCCTTTCCCTGTCGCGTCTGTGTGGAGCGCCGTGAGTCCTGGGGCTTCCCTCGTTCCAGTCTCGAAAAGAATGGGATTTCGTCACCAGGACAACCTTCTTCACGCAACTGCTATCCTTGGTCATCATTAGCTTTTGCTCTTTATAAAACAACCTGTCAAATCTATTAGGGCATTATAAATGTGTTTAA